GTTATGCAGACAAATCATTATTCTAATAATTGTTCAATTTACTACATTAGTAGAGGACAGGAAGACCCGGAGGAACGTTCTCCCTGGGGGTCGCGATGGGTCGGACACGACTTCGCAACTAACAACAACAATAAACATCATGGCATTGAGCTATAGGACTGCTATTAGCTCAAGCAACAACATTTCTTTTCATGGGGATACAAAGTTAGGGGTCGTCGCCTCCCCTAACCGACTTTTTATGCTGACATTACGGGAATCTCCTCCCCGCCGGAGATCTCCTTCCTCGGCATGCACAAGCCATCTCCACTCACCATGGTCCAGCCACCTCCGCCTTCCCGGCCGCGATTGCCACCGTCACGGTTAGAACAAAACAGGAGAAAGAAAACTCGACTAGCGACACGAGCTATGCCCAAGCCGCTTCTTAGCAACCGAGGCCACGCCTTCTCTTGCTCCTGCGGCTTAAACCTCCGCTAAAAAGACCAAGCCGTCTTGAGTTCCTATTGGTTGGGAGGAGTATCGCTCACTCTCGCGATGGTTAGTCCGGCAAAGTAAAAAAGCGTGGCGTTGTCACTGGAAAAAGAGACCGGAAATCATGACATTCCCGCGGCGATGAATGTGCGCGAGGAGGAACGTGGGTAAGGGCGTGTCATTATTACTTGTCTGTACAAGAACGTAGAGATAGGAATGTAGAAGTTACAGCGTTCATTCACTTTCGAGTGAAAAGTGCTTTTTTTTTTTTTTTAGTTCCGCCACAGACTCTAGCTGCGAATAGACTTCATTATACGGTGCAGTGTTTCTCAACCTTGACAATTTTAAGGCATGTGGATTTCAACTCCCAGAATTCCACAGCCAGCATTGCTGGCTGTGGAATTCTGGGAGTTGAAGTCCACATGCCTTAAAATGGTCAAGGTTGAGAAACACTGCAAGACCTGTGGCTAACATACATTAATCCTGCAATATTTTTTCCAAAATGGAGATAAAAAAAGAGAAACTGGTTGCCCTCCCGTTCAAAAAAAGCCCCACAAAAAAAATTACTAAGCCAAGACCGATCTACTATAATTCCATCTTACGTGTTCAAATCAGCCAAACTTCGTGCAGTTCTTCATACAACTTTTACAAACTGGAATCTCTTTTTTTTTTTCCCCATTGGAACGAAAGCCTTGCAGAAAACGTAGGAATTTTCCATGGGTATTTATATATCAAATCTATATAGCCGCCCATCCGCCGAAGGCAACTCCGAAGACTGAGGGTCGCACTGCTAGCCAAGCGACATATATGCTGTACAACAATGTGTCTCGACTTTTTACAACTTTAAAATGTTTTGGACTTCCAACTCCCAGAAATCCTCAGCCAGCATTCTAGAGGGGGTTCTCTGACAGTTGAACTCTACGCATCTTTAGAGTTACAATACTAAGGAGGAGGAAACACTGCTCTGCAAATAGAAAAGTAAGGGGTCATGTGATTTTCTAGTCTAATAAAAGGTTGCCAGTGATTTGTTTGGTTAGTCTCCCAACTAAGGCAAACAAAAAGTTGAAATTGAAGTCAGAAGTTACGCCATTTGGGTGTATTATACCTCTATAGACGGAAGGGAGTAGATCGGAAGTTACTCCTTCCCAAAAGGAGAAAGAAAAGAGCGATGAGAAGCAGTCGGGAGGAGCGGAGGAGGAAATCCCGCAGCTGGTTAGTTTTTTTACACTTTAAAACGAATTTCCCCAGCAATTGACTGATCGCCTGGGCCTCCCCTAGTCGTCCAAATAATGATCGGCTTATTTCTGGGTTGGCGTGTTGTGGGAACGAAGCCGTCTGGGAATTGCCTGAAGCGAGTTATTCAGCTGTATTTCTGTAAATCGGGTAGTCAACCTTGGCTCTTTTATGACTCGTGGACTTCAACTCCCAGAATTCCTGAGCCAGCTAAGCTGGCTCAGGAATTCTGGGAATTGAAGTCCACGAGTCATAAAAGAGCCAAGGTTGACTACCCCTGCTGTAAATCATTGTTACGAAGAAGTGGGATGTGTTGACATCATACCCGGACACAATGTAGCTTGCCGTGCCGGAGACCCGTCAGCATTGAGTTGGTGTGAAAGTTGAAGGGCTCGTTAAATTAAATAGGAGAGCAGCCTTAGGAGGAAAAGTGTCCGCCACGACTGGGTTAACAGGTAGTTGTCGACTTACGACCACAATTGAGCCCAAAATTTATGTTGATAAGTGAGAAATGCATTTAGTGAGTTTTGCCCCTTTTTACAACTTTTCTTGCCACGGTTGTTAAGTGAATCACTCCAGTTGTTAAATTAGTAACATCGTTGTTACGTGAATCTGGCTTTCCCATTGACTTTGCTTGTTGGAAGGTCACAAATGGGGATCGCATGACCCCCGGGACACTGCAACCGTCATAAATATGAGCCAGTTGTCAAGCATCTGAATGTAAATCGCATGACCGTGGGGATGCTGCAATGGTCATAACTGTGAAAATGGTCATAGGTCAACTTTTTTCATTGCCGTTGTAACATTGAACGGTCATTAGATGAACTGTTGTAAGTCGAGGACTATTTCTGTTTACTTATTTCTATGGTTTATGAGTGTTGTGTTCTGCCGAATATCTCCTCCCCAACTCACAGCAGTTTACAACAGAAACCATAAAGTTGTGTGAGTTTTTTTATTTGCCCACAGTATGACATAAGAAAATGGAACAATTACTCCACCATAGAAACTGCAGAAGGAAGGGAAAAATAACTATCAAACTACCCCCAAAAACCAATGTAAGAACTCCGTTTCAACCAGCATCTCTGGGGGGGGGCAGACTAGCTTTTAGGGGAAGCCTTGGTGCTAACCCAGAAGCACCAATTCCTGGATTCGGTCCCCTTTCCCCAAAAAATATTGGAGAATGGAAATATGATTTTCCAATAGAAGAGAGTATCTAGCTCAGGGTTGAAATGTGGGGTTCTTGATACTGTCTGAGCTTGGTTTGCTTGCAGATGTTTCAGTACCCAACTCGGTAACATCAATGCATAGTGAATGTGAGTTTTGCTGTCTATTTATATGTGGTAGCTTTAGGCAACTGGCAAGGCAAGTTATGGGTAGACGTGGCTCATGTCCATTCGTTCAGCAATCATTCACAGTTACTGAGACGCTAAAAAAATGGACTTACAACCAGTCTTCGAAGTTCCAGCTGTTGTAATGTCCCTATGATCATATGGTTGCAATCCAGATGCTCAGGTGCCTGGCTCATGATTACAACATTGCACAAGCTATGCTGCATGATTGCCATCTGTGACTCTCTGGCATCTTCACGTAAGCAAAGTTAATGAGGAAGCCAGTAGGGAAGGTTGCAAATTGTCCCAGTAAGTCACTAGAAACACCACCCCTGCCTGCTTGCACTCCATCACATGTACCTGTCAGCAGCACCGCCTCCCTCCTCTGCCTTCTCCCACCCCACCTCAGGCCTATGCCAAAATAACAACTCCTAGGCAGCTCCTGGGAGTTCCATAGCTACAAGGAGCTATGGAAAATTTTAACTCTTTCTTACCCTTCAAGAGTTGTCAGAATTTGTGCAGCCCAGACCTAGTAACCTAATTTGGAATTTTGCAAACTAGTTTACAATCCAAAATACCGGGATTCACATATGCTGAACCAAAGTTCACATGTCATATGACAAATCAATGTGTGGGGTAAGCTCTTTCAATAAGTCAGAAAGATAATATTTTTGCCTCTTGATTTGTGTGTTGTATGTATACTATATCTTTATTTCTGCCATCTTGGTGCACGAACTTGGTCCTGATGCCATAGAATTTATTGAATATTAATGATGTTTTAAAATACAGACCAGAGAATCATTTTCAAGCTTCAGTTTTTTAAGGGTGAAGCTCTTTTTGAACCTGTTACAGCTGAGCAAAGAGATTTGCTGCCTGATGTGCCAACATCCAAATCTCACTAGCATCTTTCTCTTTCCAGTTTGTAAAGTAAATAACTATTGATTTTCTATCTAGTCATGAATCCCCAAAACTGTTACCTGCAGTAATCACTTCATTTTGCCTTATGCTTGAGATAGGTCTTAAACTGTATGCATGATTGATTATATTCTGAGAGTGGGGTAGAATTCCATCTTAAACATACCTAGGTTATTCAGGCACCCAAATTCCTTTGGAATACTGCCTAAATGAGAAAAGAAGAGTGTTCTAAGTCAACTTCCTATTTCAAAATTATAGGCATTTTTTCAGCATTTGCTGAAATGAAATAGTTCCTCTTTTTGTCTTTCAGAGTTTTATTGTATTAATTGTTTTTATTACACTAAGATATGCAGCTTTTTAATAAAAAAAATAAAGCTCCATGAAAATATATTTACAATACTTAAAATAATGATCAACCAGCCCAAATAGGATGCATATCCATCCAGTCACTTCCAAGTGAGGTTTGGGGGCTTGAACATTTTCTACTATTTTTGTGAGAAGCTGCATTATGAAGTTGAATTAGTATGTTGCAATATGTTCTGTACTAATGATTCTATATTCTGTTTAATGAAACTGACAATCATAACACTTTTTTTGTTTCTTTCTTTCTTTCTTTTAGGCTTTAAGGGTTTTTTCTTATATGCAATCTTGTCAATAAAATGGCAACTCTAAATAATGCAGAAAATAGTAAGTATTCCTCTTTAGGAATTAAATATTGATTTTGGAGATATATTAAGTATTCCTCTGTAGGAATTAAATATTGATTTTGGAGATATATTTGCAGATATTTACAAAGACAAGGCTTTTAATACATACTGTATTTTGGCATGATTTTTCAGAAGTGTCATTGCCACCTTCCTAGGGTTGACAAAAAGTGACTAGTCCAAGGTCACTGAACTGATTTTTACCTAATGTGGGACTAGAATTCATGGTCTCCCAATTTCTAGCCTAGTGTCTTAACCCACTATACCAGTGGCTCCCAATCTTTTGGGCACCAGGGACCAATTCCATGGAGAGAGGTTTTTCTGTGGACCAGAGGGGGCGTGGTTTCATGTGCTTCCTGCAGATGGGGCTTTGCTTGTTTGCGAGGACCAGTTTCTGGCATGCCATGGATCAGTGCCGATTGGGGGATTGGGGACCCCTGCACTACACCTGAACTATTGGCTTTCCTAATAATATTAGGGTATATTACTTATGTTTTTTATGATTTAAACATATTGTATGCTATTTTCTGCCTCAACCTGAAGGTGAATATACTACCTCACCCATTCGTGGACCTGGTGATGGCATGGAAACAGAGCAGCCTTCAAAATCTGTTGAAGTAATCCTCAACACAACTAGCCATGCCCATCGAAGCCCACACAAGAAACTTCTTCCACCACTAAGTCCTGGAGTTCTTCAGCTGGGGAAAGTATATGGTGACAAGGCTGTGGAAATTGAAGCTGTACGAATAATAGTTCCTAAAGCTTCTATAAACCATGTGGTACCTGTTAAAAATACTAAAGGATCTAAATCCTCAGGTCCACAAAAAGAGCCCCTCGGTCTGTCCGATGGAATTTCATCAGATAATAAGAAAGAACTGCTGGAGCTAAGAAGTGAAATAGGAAAGCTTAAGAATTCAGAAAAGAGATTGTTACAGGATAAGGAAGGCCTTTCCAATCAACTCCATGTGCAAACAGAGGTAAGAAAATAGACTTGATTGAATTACTTTTAAAGACTCTTTTATACCATTCGTTTGGAAGAAATAACTGCAGTGTACACAAATAATTATTCAGGGATAACAGTGCAGCTTCAACTCCATTTAATAGTTTATACTCAGTTTTTTTCCTACTTTTGATTATTTCTGTTCATTTCCACTCAGAATTAAATTAAATTAAATTGCCCTTAATGACTTCATTTCATAGTAAGGCCTTTAAGGATTGTAGTCTGCATCATTCGATTATTCTGAGCAATGACTATAAAAGTATTCAGTATAAAGTGGCTCATTGAGTCCCTCTATAAAAGAGAAAGACAGTATCTAAATATGTATATAAACCATAATTGTATAAATAAACAGAGAACTATACCCTCTACCTGAAAATTGATAAAATGGGTAGCTGCTATGTTTGAATATGCCATCATTCCATGAGACTAAGTTCCATATCTCTTGGAAAAAGCCAACTTTCATCTAAGCAAAATTACAATTTGGATTTTGGAGGAGCTTCTTTTTTTAAAAAAAAAAAGTTTTATTAGTTTATAGTATACGATACAATGAAAATACAAAAGTAAATAGTGAAAAAGATAGAGAAGGGAAAAGGGAATAGAGAAGTGAGGTAAGGAAGAGAAAAAAGAAGAAAAAAGGCATTGACTTCCAGCTTTCTTTGCTGCAACAAAGTAGACTATCTATTTCAAAGTAGACTATCTACTTTTTACTTTTACAAAATAATATAAGCTAGCCATTTTGATAACATCAAGTCTATCTAATTGGTAAAGCCCAAAATCAAAATTTCATTTTTTTCAACCTCAAGCACAAAGTCTAGAAGCAGTTTCCAAGGGGCAGTAAAAGTGTTCATATTCTTTTCTTTAATCAGTACAGTTAGTTTAGCCATCTCTGCTAGCTCCATCAGCTTTTGTAACCATTCCTCCATTGTGGGAATCAATGTAGTCCTCCATTTCTGAGCGTAAAGTAATCTTGCTGCTGTCAACATATATAACATCAAAGTTCCATATTTTTTTTCCAGGTCTTTGTCCATTACCCCCAAGAGAAAAATTTCTGGTTTTCTTTCTATATTCCCTTTTAAGAATTTTCTGTAAACATTTGAATCCTGCTCCAATATTTTCTTGCTTTATCACACATCCACCATAAATGGTAAAAAGTCCCTTTTTCACCTTTACATTTCCAACATTCATTTGAAATACCTTTATACATTTTGGATAACTTGTCTGGTGTTAAGTGCTAATGGTACATCATCTTGTAAAATTTTTCTTTTAAATTATAATTTAATGTAAATTTTAATCCTTTATTCCACATATTTTCCCATTGTTCAAGCATTATATTGTACCCCAAATTCCTTGCCCGCTGAATCATACAATGTTTTACTTGTTCATTTTCCAGATTTAAATTCAATAACATTTTATAAACTTTAGCTATAATATGTTCATCACTACCGCACAGTAGGGTTTCCAATTGATTTTTAACAAAATCAAACCCATGATTCTTTTTATCTCACTTAAATCTTTCTTTCAACTGCATATATGTAAACCAGTGGTGAACATGACCTTCTGATTCTAGCTCCTCCTTGGATTTGAGGGTAGGCTCACCCAAATTAAGAGATATTATATATCACTTGATTTTGGAGGAGCTTCTTGAAAGCTACTATGGGATAGAAAGCTACTGGTCTTAGATTATGAAAGCTGTAAACATGTAAACTTATGTTCACCTTGTTAAAGCTGCATTGTATAAAATCCTGTCTTTTTCCTTATTAAGACATAGGTGATGTTTGTGCAGCCACTCTATAGTAATACAAACAGTAACAAGCTTTGTTTGGTGTCCATCATATTTTGAAATGCACAACAGTCAACTTTTAATATATGCTGTAATTAACTACTACACCTGACTAGTAACACAGCACAAGCCAGCCTGCATCTTTCTTTATACCCAGTTCTTCAACTGCAATAGGTTAATCAACTCAATGTGTGTTGAAATCATTTCTCTATCTTAGGTCAATCGGGAGTTGAAAAGGTTACTTGTTGCTTCTGTTGGAGATGACTTGCAATATCATTTTGAGCGTATGGCACGTGAAAAAAATCAACTGATTCTTGAAAATGAAGCCCTTGGGCGGAATGTGTCTCAGTTGTCTGAGCAGTTAGAACGGATGTCTATACAATGTGACGTTTGGCGAAGCAAATTCCTAGCAAGCAGGTACTGTTAATAATGCTGCCTTTTAAAGGATACCTTGATAAATAAATGTACATCTACCTAAGCAAGTATAGACACATAAATACTTTTTCTCTGTCAGAGTTGTTGATTCAGGATACCAAGCTTTAAGGTTTAACAGACATGATTGTTCTGGATGGGGTCATGCTTCCCTTAAAGGTCAGGTTTACAGCTTGGGACTGCTTTTAACCAAAGATACACAACAGTAGCAGGCTAAATGTTTATCAGCCTTGGCGGATAAACCATTGTGTATTCCAGGAGAAGAGAGAACTGACATTGGTAATGTATGGTTTGTTAACTCTGAGACTGGATACTACTACATATTGCTGTTTGTGGAGTGCCTCTTGAAAACAATGACAATTGGCCAAGAATGATGCAACATGATTGGTGCTTCTAGGAGGTGCCACAACACACCTTTCATAAAACAATTGTGCAAACTTGAGTAATTTTCTGATCCCAATTCAAAGTACTCACTCTGGTGTACAAAACTGGGTAGGTCTTAGGACTTCCGGTTTGCCATCGTGGCTGCCGCGGACGCTGGAAGGCAAGCTCCGTCTTCCGCATTCGGTTTCGTTCTGCTGAGGGACCCTGGAAAGGGTCGAAAGTCGCCCTGTAGGGATGACGAGCAAGGAGGGGACCCCCGCTTGATCGCGGAAGGGCAGCAGCCCTTTCGCTCGATCCAGGGCAGCCCTCCAAACGGGCAGAGGAAAGACCGGCCATAGTAATATGGCTCGTCACTAGGCTGCAGACAGCCGAAGTCAAACTTACCACCAAGCACTTCGAAAGCAACGTGGATGGGCTAGTCCTTCCCAAAAAAATGGCAATTAAATGGTCTCCTTTATTTCAAATAACATATATAATAATAGAGGGAGATCTATTTGACAATCTAAAAGCACTGATATGGAAGGCTATTTGGCAAAGGAAGAAAGCCAGAATAAGGCTGAAGAAAATTGGGGTTTTGATTTATTAGAGGGGATTTCATATGATTAATTAGAGGGTTAAAGGGAGAAGTTTAGATAAGGGGAATTCTGGTCATTAGATTTAAAATATTTGGAAATTAGTTGAAAATAAGGATTTTATCTGTTTAATATTTAAAAATTAGACCTAAAAGAAAAAAAATTATTATGAATATGTTTGATTTATTGATTAACCCAGGTAATATATACAATAGTTTTGATTTATTAAAGGGGATATTATATTATTAAGTAGATGATTTAATATGGTGGGAAATAGATAACTTTTAGGAAATAGAACAAGATTATATTCAAATAGATAAAATGTGTATTTTGGATATTAGATTCTGTTATGAATTGAGATAAGGGAAGGTTACCTAAAGCCTGAAAATTATAAATATCAAAGGTTAAATTGGAATATTGATGGGAAACTAAAAATTGAGAAAAATTAATAACAGGATATGGATTGTTTATGAAGATTGAATGTAAAAAATAATTAAGATATGTATAAGCTAAAAATTTATTGATAAATGTAATAATGATGTTTTTACTGAGTTGATATAATAAGAACTGTATTAGCTTAAATATGAGACAGTAAATGTTAAAAAAAAAGAGAGGAAATATTTGATGTTGTAACATGAGATTTGTACTAAAGATTTTGTTATCGAACTATTGATTAATCCAGCTACCACGCTGCTTTTTAAATAAATGTACAATTGGAAAATTAATAAAATATTATAAACGAAAACTGGGTAGGTCTTGGAGCCAAATTACTTTTAAATATCCATGTTCTAATATTTTTAATGGGGCATCTCTGCAGCTTACTCCACTAATAGAATTTAGAGCAGCTAATTCATGGTGAGTGTAAACTGAAATACTTTGCCTGAGGCTTAAAATATTTCATTTACTAAACCTCTTATAGTTTGCAATCATTTTTAGACATTTTTAATTATTATTATTATTTATTGAATTTATATACCGCCCTATCTCCCTTACGGGACTCAGGGTGGTGAACAGGCGATAATAAAAACCACGATAAATATACACAAATTTCTGTCTAAAATCAAATTAAATAACAGGCCTGCTCTAAAAATACCCCATACAAAACCCCCACTAAAACATAATCAAACTACGCCAGGCCGGCCGCACGGAATAGATGAGCCTTCAGGGCTCGGCGAAAAAGGCGCAGGTCCGCAACTGTA